AGGAAGGTCTCATATTCTCCTTCCAAACTGGGCGCATAGACCTGTACCAAGGTCATCGATTTAGCCTGTTCTAGCTTCAGTTCGAGGATTACCCCCTTCCGCTGACAGGATTCCAAACGATTATTCTATCGGCAAAGTTGGGTTCTATCAGAACGCCAGCACCAGCCTGAGCGTGAGTCGTGATATCGAAGCCTGAGTAGAACAGTTTCCATCTATTGAGGTTCAGGAGTCCAGCGCCTGGACAACTGGTTGACGAGAGTCCAACAACGTCGAGTTACTACTTTATGGCCTCATCAACTAGTTCTTGCTCTTTTCCTCTGAATGAGAATATGTTCTAATTTCCGTCTTTAAGCTCCCACTGTTTGCGTCGTTCTAGTGGAGCCTTTTCTGACGTGCTATAATGGCATCGCGCTGTCTGCCTCCTCCGTTCAGAACGGGTAGCGACTCCGCTGCTGATTGATATCTACGTCGTCGTTCCGTCGGTCTTCGTCAGCCGTCGTTGTGCTGCTACGTCCCCGGCTTCCAGAGGGCAATGAGCAGGTCCTGATCGCCGACTTTTCGCAGTCTGCCTCAGTCCCCCGGCAGCCTGCGCGGCCCTTGGTAACCCGGGCGACGACCGAGCCGGTATAACTGGATGGCGTCAATACCATGAGTGGCAGGTGGCTAAATTTTACGGAGATCTGCCACGGTCTCTGACCCTCCTCCTTTCTCATCCGGGCTTGGGACCGGCAATGGCGGAGTTGTCTGCTCTGACATGCGTATTGAAATCGTGGATTAGCGTGAGGGCCTTCGCAGTCAACATTTCATTCAGAGCGCGTTTCACTTCCTCAAAGGTCTCATATGTTGCTTCCAAATTGGGCGGATAAACCGGTAACGAGATCAACGCCTTAGCTAGTAGCAGCATTAGTTGGAGGACTGTCATTCTTCTGCTGACAGGCTTCTATTCAATGATTCTATTAACCACGCTGTGTTCTACCAATACCGGCAACCGTTCTGGGATGATGTCAACACTTGAGTAGAATATCTTCCCCCCACAGAGATTCAGAATTCCACAGCCTTGGCTCTTCACTGATGAGGCTCTAATTATATCGAGTTAGCTTGCCTCCTCATCAACTACCTCCTGCTCTTTCCCTCTGAGTAGGGATATATTTCAATTTCAGACTGTAAGCTCCCACTTGCGGTATCGTTCCCGTGTAGCGTTACGTGACGTGCTATAATACCATCGCGCTGTCTGCCTGCTCCGTTCAGAGCGGTAGCGTTTCCCTTGCTGACTGGTAGCTTCATAGTCATTTTGTCGATCCTCGACAACCGTTGTCCTACTGCTATTCTCTCGGCTGTGGAGCATGTTCTCATCGCCGATTTTTCGCAGTCTGCCTCAATTTCAAAACAGCCTGTGTGGCCGTCGGTAAGCTGGGTGACAACCGAGGAGACAAAAACTTCGATTACAGCAAATCATGAGCGGCAGTCGGCTACGTTTCAA